CCCGTGACCGCTGTCAACCAATTAAGACAACATCGCGCCGAGGCGTGTTAAAGTCCATATCTAGCGCGATTTTGGCTCACTTGGTTGGTAGCGGTCACCGGGTAGACCCTAGCCAATCGTTCCGAGTCCTTTATAAAGTGCCGACGAAACGCTTCGAGTTCCTGCGTCAGCGGATACTTGCGACGGCAGAGGCAGTCGCCATAAGACTCAGTAACCCGATTGTATGCGCTCAGAAGGTGTTTGTAGAGGCTCCATTGACCAAAAACGAACTCAGAATACATCCGTACGCCTACTACCACGACGCGAGACATTGACGACGGGGTGATGTGAACTAATTATCGGACTCCTCTCCCTCGCTGGACCCTTGTTATGACTGGAATCTGACCGATTGATCCCTGAGCATCTTTCACCCACTCTTACTACCAATTGCTTGCTTAAACGTTTGTTTACTCTACAATCCCTTATATTATTGTAATTGCCATATGACTAATAATCGAAAACATACTTTCGCCAAGTGGACTTTCTGAATGCTAATATGGGTGTAATTGCTCAACTGTCTGTCTATCTTACGGAAATCTCTTCTTCTCATTTCCCTATAGACGGAAGGAAGCGTTGGTTCTTCTCAGACGCAAGAAGCAGCTGGAAAAGGCAAGAGACAAAAGACTGCAACAACTAGCCAACCTGGAAGCGCTGGAACTTCAACTGGATACCGCCAAAGACAACCGGACGGTTATTAACGCCCTGTCGACCGCCGGTGAAGCACTGAAGACTACTACCGGTGGTGCAGAGGGTGTCGAGGAGGTTGAGCGTACAATGGATGACCTAGCTGAGCTCATGGAGGACAACGAAGCGGTATGTCCATCATGGGGGTGTTTTTTTTTCTCGGTAACACCATGTTGGTTGCTCCTGCTTTTGGGTAGACCACCTTCCGTGGACGTAGTGCAAAACTAAGCTGTCTTACACTACTTGCAAATTTTAGATCTCCAGGGCTCTTGCTTCTCCAACTAGGGAGACTGAAAGTGAGGCAGACTTGAAGAGCGAGTTAGACGAACTTCTGGCGGAGAAGACTGAGCCCAAACCGAAGGCTACCTCTGCAGACGAGCGCGGGGAGCCATCTCAGGCTGAACTACTCCGCCAGCTGGAATCGCTACGGGTTTATGAGTCTTCGGAGCCTCGCGCGCCTTCAAAGGCTGCATCAGCTCAGTGACTGTGTGCTTTCGTTTACGTGCCCCCCCTCCATCCTCACTGTTTGCGGGACCCGTTAATTTGACCTGCGAGAGACATTTGACTACTCTTCTAAACTTCCAAACTCCCTGTCCCTTCAATGTGGCCCGCCTCCCAGTTGTCTTTCAGTATATAACTGTCACCCTCTTCATTTTCATTCAGAATTTCTTTGCGCCTAATGTGTCGTGCTGTGCCTTTTCTTTTATCAGTCTGCTTGATCTTGGGGTATCCGGTGGTTTGTTGGTAGGAGTTTGCGAAGATTTTGGGTTGATGATGAGGCCTGCTCTTGTTCTTCGTCCACGCCATTGTTATCTGTTGGCGTAACGACTGCAAGTGCCTGATCGCTAACACACACGGCAGTTCGAATATTGATTTCCAGGATGTCCGCACATATGCTCCGAAGGGGTTGGTGCAGGGAAGGTGACTTGTGCAGGGGTTAGTTTCAAGTGAATGTTGACGTTGCGCACCGTCTACCGTATTCTCGACCTTCACCCGCCGAAGCTGGTGCCATGCCAGAATCAAGATGACCGCGACGGTTTCCAGTGCTGGCCGCTTTCTCCAATACCGCCCAGAACACCTGTATACAGTAGTCGCCGGCTATTAAGCCCACCTCGGGCCCAGACCTAATTGGACTTAATAAGCGGCAGGCGCAATAACCGGAGAGTCCTAGTTCTTGATTAGCAAACGCGGGATAGGCAA